TTGTCTGAGCCAATTTTTGCTAGCCCAAAATCAGACACCTTAGCTCTGAAATTTTGATCAAGTAGAACATTACTGCACTTGAAATCTCTGTGAATAACTGATGGAGTTGTGTGCTCATGTAGATATTCCAAAGCTCTAGCACAATCAAGGGCTATTCTTAACCTAATTCCCCAGTTCAATGAGTTCGTGGATTGTTTATGCGCGTTGTGGAGATGCTGTTGGAGTGAACCATTAGGCATATAGTCAAAAATTAGGAGCCTGTGGTGTTGGTCTGCGCAGTAGCCAAGAAGTTCAACCAAGTAAGGAGAGTGTAAGCGACTTAATAAGTCCACCTGCCATAACAGAGAAACAACAATTACCCCTCAATAACGAACAAGTTAAGGTCAGTTACATAAATCCTTACGGTCCATATACATTCATGTGTATTTTTTTGCTACAGTATTGCAATCATATGACGTATTTACATTGTTGATATTTTATTTAGATAATGGCTCTGAGAAACATGGTTCTGATAGCTTGACAATTTGACATTCCTGATATGCTTTAATTACTAAACAAACTGCCAAAGTACCATCACATGTCTCTATATAATATATTTCTTTGCATGTTATCCTAGGGCCTTTTTCTATTGTCTTTTCCAAGGATAAAAAATTTTAATATCATAAAAAAGGAGAAAAAAAGTCAACACCATTTGGAATAAAAAAATTTCACCCTCGAGTAATCCTTCAAATTAAAGACAACTTGAAAATCTACACCGTTTGTATATAGCACACAAACCACTTAAATCAGCAATTTTCTCAAGTAACTATTCTGTCCCCCCACCCCCACCTTACCCCCACCCCATACACAATACACAGTGAATGAATAAAAAGTTAAGTTACTTTCTTTTTTTAAGTCCATTAAAAAAAACATATTTTTATATTTTTTTTAAAATTTTGCGTGAAGTCAAACTATCGATTACGGTATATAAATTGAGACAATGAGAGTAGTAATAATGTGTGAATTGGAAACAATGTAAGTGGATGAAGAAAGAGGCAATAAATGAAGTGATGACAGACCTCTAATCTAAAAGAACGTTCCCATTGCTTGCCTTCCCTTTGCAGAACTTTAATTGCAGCCACAGTTCCATCAATGAGGACTCCTCTGTAGACAACCCCATAACCTCCATTCCCAATCACATTTGCCTCACTAAATTTGTCTGTAGACATCTCCAGCTGCTTGTATGTAAATACTTGAACTCCTCTCAATTTTGTTTCTGGCATCCTCCCTGAATTTCCTCCGTGTCCAGGTAGACATCCACCCTTTACATCTGCCCATCACATTGTCATATAAACATTTAAAAAATTGAGTGGTTCCATATTTGAACAATAGTTCTAGCACGTAGACGAATTCAGGATTTAAATTTAAACATATTCAACCTTTACTGGTCTCTTGGAACTAAATAGTGATTTATTCATCATCCATACTCCATTTTAAAAAAAAAGGAATGATATGAAGTATGAATTCGTGTTACCTGGACTTAAATGGATGTCGATGGTGCTATGTGCAACGAACATACAATTGTTTTTGTTGATGACACTTTTTGAACTATTATTAGTCCCATTGTGTTTGGCTGATTGTATGCGCTTAAGCATGACTATGAGAAGAGATATTGCAATAAGCAGGATTATAATTATGATTGGAACGATAATAAGGAGAACGGATGTCGAAGGGAGTATGTCATTGTGCTGGTGGTTTTTATGACTTTGAGATTCAGAGTGATGATGGTTTTGGCTGTAGTTATCCTCCATGATCACAGAGAGAACAAAAACAAGGGAAACAGAAAATGGAGTTTTTTTTTTAATGTGTGTGTGAGAAAAAAATGATGAGGTTTCAATGTGGAATTTGTATTTTTTAGGATTTGTAGATTGAAGTTAGAGCCACATGATTGCTTGAAATTTTGCCTTGATAGGAGGTAATATTGCCCTACATACATACAATTGCCACATGATGACTCATTCACTCACACATATAAATGGTTTCTCTGTACTTCATTCTGTCCCTTCTTTTGTTATTATATAGAGGTCTAGTCTCTGTCTTGCTTTCACAAAAACAACTTTTTTGGAACGTCTAGCACCCAATTTCAATTCACTTTTTTAGTTCTCAAATTATTAGTAGCTCAAAAATCAACTTGCTCTCTGCCCATATTTTATCATTGAGAACCGTGGTAAAAATATATCCACCCTTTTATCTCTGTTAGTCAAATCTAAATTGATCGATTCAGTAAATTCTGAACTTGAGGAAAAGAAAATTAAATCGATAAATTGACATGTACTAGAATTGCATGTTGACTGGGGAATACTTTAAAAAAATTATGAAAAAACTATGGGGATCCGCAATTAGTGTTCATTTTGAGGTCAAAATATGCCCTGAATTTCAGGGCAAACTTATTAGGGACCTATATTTCATATTTAGTGAATTAGCTGCAACTCTATAGCCTAATGTTTGCCCCTATTTGTATAGTTGCATGTGACATTTCAACAGGAAGAGTTGCTCTACAATTTAAGCAAGAGGGAAATATTTCATATTTATATTTATTTAAGCGTCATGATACTTAACCATCATGACTATGAAAGTTTCTAAAAATGACACGGCTTGATTTGACTCGATTAGGTTAGGAACTACATCCAAACTTAAAAAATAGTAATGAAATGGAAGGACATGAGAAATAATCTCGTGATACATTTCATAATCTTACAGAATAATAGAGAGTGACATTTCTTCACTATGCTAGATACATATATATTATGTAACCATGTGGTTGTACATATCCCATTTGGAATATCTTTTCACTAATTAAACCAACCCTTAAACAATGTTGTAGGAATATGGAAATCCAAAAGTTGATATGTACAATAATGGTAGTAGCACTTTTACAACTTTTCTGGTACAAAGTTGGACATAGGTAGGCCTAAATCTTAGCTAATTCCTTCTTTTAATCAAACATTTTAATTTTCCAAATTCCTATGTTTTTAAATTACTCATTAGTTGAATTTTGATTACTCTAAATCAGTAGTTAATGATTAAGGATGGGGTTGGCTATCTATTGGAATATTCTTTAAATATAAGTTGGATAGCAACGGCGAGTTCCCATTTTTAACAAAATATTCTCTAAGCATAAGCTAAACTAAACAATGAACAGTGCTATTTTAATACTAATAATCCCATAAAAGTTAGTATGAAATGGGCCTAGAAGACACGTAATATAAGATGGGCTGGGGGATAACTCATTATTGTAAGAAGATGGACCTAAAAACTGGCTCTAAAGAAAATCTTTGCCATAAATGATATTAGGAAAATTATATATAATAACACACTAATAATTCAAATTAAATGTTATAATCATACTTTGACTTAATTGTGCCCTGTAGCAAACTGTATGTCAATCGTCTGTCTCTCAAACTCTCACTCACCACTGTTCCTCTCTCAGTCGCTTCCTTTCGCTTTTATACAAAAACAAATGTATAAAATGTATATGTGTTTGTATAAAGCGAGAGAAATTGTATACATACATATATTTTCATTTCCTCTCCCAGATCTCTCTCTTCACTCTCATCTCTCTCGCTTACACAAACAGAAACAAAATATATAAATTGTGTTTCTGTTTGTACAAAGCGAAAGAAAATTCTATATATACATGCAAATACATATATCTTTGTCCTATTAATTTCTAATTATACGATTCAAATATTTTCCCTGTCAATTTTCTTTTGTCTTTCTCTCTTTCTCGTTTTATACATACACAAATTATACAATTAATCTTTTGAATATAACTGTTTTCTTTTTTATATGTATAGGGAATTATACAATTATTTTTTTTCCGTATACGTATAGCGAAATATACATATTTATGTTTGCTACGAGTGCAATTATGCAAAGTATAGATATAACATACAAATATGATTTTTATGTTTATTATATGTGAAAGTTTTTTAGTCTAAAATGATCATGTAAGCCATTACTATCAATATTGTCCAAACTTCGATTTCAAATGCTTCTTCTCTAATTACAATCCAATGTCAAGTAGAACTCAAATCCATATAGGAGTAAATACATTAGATCAGTTGTTATTGTGTCATGTATTATCTTAATGTCAATATTTTTTATTTTTGACATTTTAATAAATTTAAAATTTGTACAATAAAATCATAAAAATCACCCAATAATGTAATGTAATTAATATAACAAACTATTAACATCTAGTGAGAAGTAAACAATGTGTTTAGTTCGGTCCATGACCAAAAGACTCCGAGACCCTTAATTTGCCGTCAAACTATTTTATTTGACATTGATCAAGATGGTATTGTGACGATATTAATTTAATTTAATAATAAACAATGAGTAATAATCATTGTTAGGCAAATTCATAAGATAATATATATCTTTGACGGAATGCTTCTACTTTTTGAATAAGCTATATATATGCTTATTTTTCTGCTGTTTTGTTCAGAGAGGTCTTTTATCATTTTTATTAATTAAACTGTATTTTAATCATTTTTATTAATAAAATAGTGAAATATCTTATAAACATATATACTTCTAGACTTTGAACTTCCAATAAAAATGAATTACAACTATAACGTTTATTCTAGTTGTGGAATCAAAGTAACAAAAAATAACTACAGAGGTTTCTTAACATAAAAGTAATGATTTTTTGACATCATAATCATAGAGAAAATTAAAGAAAGGGCTTTGGAAATATCAAAATTGCTTCTGACGTCTTAATTTTAACCTGGTGCCTTCCATAGCCAAACAAATTAACCTTTTGTTTGGCTGTATTCGTACTTTGAACCAACAAAAGGAAGGTTCGTTGAGTTGGAAAATTGAATTTTTTCGTCATAAAAATGAGATTGACTTGTATATAAATTCGATAGATGATAGTGAATATATAATTTTATGTTGTTAGAGAGCTAATCCGATACACTTTTTTTTTTTATATATATAGATTAGATTTTATCTGCGCTTTTAAAAATATATGTTTGTAATGAAAATTTTAAGATAATAATTAATTGTTTTGGTTTTGAAATTATTTTTTCGGCAACTTAACTTCCTAATCACTTTCCCTTAACCGCGTGGGTCCCACATTGTTCTGCTGATTTCTTCAAAATTCATCATCTACTGTTCATTTGCTTCTCCAAAGGAAGAAAAAAAAAGATGGGAATTTCATGGAGTAAAAGACATCAAAATCATCACCTCCACCACCCTCCTCCACCGCCCCTTCTGCCGCCGCCGTCTTCTTCTATTGCTCCGCCCTTTCCTTCTCTATCTCCACCACCACTGCCACCTCCCCACCCAACCTACTCAGTTCCTACAACTTCTACAACACCTCATCCTTCCCGAAACCCTTATCCTTTACTAACCCCTCCTCCCCCGCCCAACTACCCGCCTCCTTCCAATTCAAACTACCATTTTAGTTTCAGTCAGTCCAGTTATGGTACTAGACCTGTACTCTATCAAAATCAGTATCCTCCTTATTATCATCATCCTCACAGTAATAACGGATGGGGTGGATTTCGGCCTCCGCCGCCTCCTCCACCGCCGTTGCCGGCGGTGCCGTATGTGGATCATCAAAATACGAAGAAGATTAAGAATGATGTTAATGTTCATAAGGATACTATCAGGGTTCATGTTGACGAATTCAATAAGGATTTTCATTTGGTTTCGTTTACTTTCGATGCGCTTGTTGATGGAAGGTACTTGATCATATCTATGCTTGTACCTTTTATATATTTTGATTTGATTTTATATTTCATTTTGTTTAGTTAATTATTATGCTATTAAGCTGAAGAACCTGCAATTAAGGATTAAAGTATATTAGAATTGAAAATGAGTGAGTAATCTGTAACTGATCTTATGAGTTGAGCTGGAGAAGTGTTGCAAGCTTAGGATTATGTTTATAGATTGGCTGTTGTTAACTTGTTTTGATGGATTATTGTGGTATCGGTTAGAATTATGATCCCTTTCATAGTAATAGCTTTTGGTTCTATTTGAACTTAGAACTCAGGGATAGAAGGATTGTATCGCTGAAGTTGTGTAAGCCTGACAGTTTCGGAATGTCAGGAAAAAGTCAACTGTTAAGTATTGTTCTATGTGTCTGAAAAGAATAATATGGAATTAAATGCCAAATCTTGCAAACCAGAATTATTGGTTTTATCAACTATTACCATGCAAATACTTGATTACTTGTAGTGTTAGAGTTAAACTATTGACTTCCTTAATGTTGTATGGGAACTGCAGTATATGCACTTTTGGGGCTTCATTGTATGATTGGTTTATATCCAACTGGTTATTTAAGATTTAAATTGAGGTATTTAGATGCCAATTCTTCTGTTTCTTCAATCGTTGAAATGATATTGAAGTAGTTGTGGAGAGAGATTCCCAATTCTAAGGCATGACAAAAGTATTATGGGAGGTATTATGAGTTATTTGTGAGGTGACCTTTTTCATTGCTATGTCTTATATGGAAAAAACTACATTAGAATGCTTTGAAGATTTGCCTAACTTTGGAAGATAGAACTTCTTAGGTCATGGTCTCCAAACTATAACTTATCTAATTTGATGAAGCCTAATTGAGCTGAACTGTGGTCAATAATGTGTTAACAACTGATAAGGTGTTTTATTTCCCCTTTTTCTTTTACAATCTTGGGCTAAATTCCTTGTAAATAATCTTATGCTGACATTGACTATATTGTGCCTCTTACTAATGTGTATCTCGTTACTCAACATTGGGAATAGTGAATACAGATTATCAAGCTTTCAAATTTAAGGATGGTTTTGGTGAAACATATTGGAATCTATTACCTTAATGTGCCAGCAGGGAAATATTGCCATGTTAAATGGCTGAATCCAGCTTACTAACCTTGTTAGCAACACCAGGGAATGAACTAATACATCCATATTGCCAATTGTAAATGGAAATGGATTTCTGGGAGATAGCATGTATCCCTTGAATCTCTAGCTCCAAATAATGTTGATTTGATTGGAACAAATCAAATGTAACATAAAAAATATTTTTTCCCTTTGAAATTTCTCTTGAACTTTAGACTATCTGAGGATATTTTGACTAGTTGGAATTCTAGGCCATGTCTCAATGTGAAGTCAACAAATACCTAATAAGTAAAGTTGTTATGAAGAAATTTAGCAAGAAAAAGACAACAATTACTAGATAGATACAAATGAGTGTGGACTGGTCTTTGATTAGTAAAACGTTTGCTGTTTTTTGTTGTCAAGTTGAAATTCCAAAGTTAAAATGATCAGTGGGAAAATATCGAACCTGTATTGCATCTTGTTGGTGGCATTTAGTGCTCTCTCAAGGTGTTTTAAGGTCTCTTCACAACCAGCTATTCTTTACTCAAATTTCATGAAGTGCAGCAAAAATATTCGAAGACAAGATTTAATATAATACAAAAGACAATCCAGTGAAAAACTAATTTAATTAGGAATCATGGCATTTGCAATACACTTCTTTTCTTTTTAATGACCATGGTGTTTGGGTCGCCTTTCGCCCACCTCCACTACTTCTAGTCAATACCTGCCACCTCCCCCTAGCAACAGGTACCAAGTAAGAATCACCCAGTGCTTTTTTGGTCTCTACTTTGTTTTGAACCTGAACCTCAAGGTTCTTAACCACTTCATTTACCACTTGGCCCCACCCTTGGGTGCATTTGCAATATAATTTTTGACCAACTGAGGTTGTATCAACTCATTTTCTTTGTTTAGGACTTATATTATTTGCTTGGTCATTATACCTGTGAGTTGAGATAATGACTGAAGCAAGTTACACTACCGAAATGCTTAATATGGTTGCTGTGTATGTAGTCTAAAGAGATTATGTGAAACTCAATCTCTCCACCAGACGTACCATATAACCAAGTTCAAAGAGAAACCATGAACCAAAAAAGAAGACCTTGCCCTACCCATGAGTAAATATTTTGTAGTAGCCTCATTAGGCCATATATCTTTCTTGGTATATCTAGATAATAGGTAGGAGCATAAACTGAAACACTTGGGGATACAAAAATAGTTATTAAATCGTTAGCACCACATAAAACATCTGGTTCAATTTTGCTAGATGCACCTTCATAAAAAAAAATATGTTAGATGTACTGCTTCATTGTTTAAGAAAACCACATTGTTTCCTTCGATTTTTAAAAGCCCTTGTTTCAAGGACAAAACCGACAAAAGATGGATGTCACCAGTAGGCAGTTCTTCTGGATCAAGCCACTTCCTTAAAGATCAGATACCTAGATGGCAATGTGATCTTTGTATTTTAATTAATTATAAACGGTATATATCTATCGGAAACAACCTCTCTACCCCACAAAAGAAGAGATAAGGTTTGTGTACATCCAAGGTGTGGTCGCACCCGGTTTGTTATTGTTTGTTGTTTATATCTCAAAGAGGTCTTTGTTTTGCTTAGTAGTAACATAATCCATTCATTATCTAAATAAAGAGCATCTCTCACCAAAAGATCAATCTGATACGTTTTTTGTGTTTCTATGAGAAGCTCAATGGAATGTAATAAGTTGTCAACATATCACGCGAAAAAAATCCTTAATAAGTATTCCCTCTATCCTAATTTATGTGGCACACTATTCTTTTTAGTCTGTCCCAATAAGAATATCACCTTTCTACAATCAGAAACAATTGAACCTTAAAATTCCCTAATGATTTATAGTCACACAAATGTCACAAATTTCACAAGTCTTTCCTTTTAAAATTTTGTGCCTAGTAAAATGTTGTCACATTAAATAGGACGGATGGAGTAATATTTAAGGGCTGGGCCTCGCTGACCTTTTAGTTGACTAATTTTTTAAAGTCACGAATAGCATTTCAATAGAAAAGTAGCCTTATGGCTATCTCTTGAAGGTTTATATGGTCCTAAGTTTCTCATTTTTTTGTTTTCCACTGTTCTTGATGGAATTTTTGCAATATAAATGAGTATATTTTTCTGTGATAAATTTATACTGTGTGTACACACACACACACACAGTTATATCCGAACCCGAGCTGAGTAACGCAGGTTTCTTGGTTCCAATGATTGCTACTTCTTACTTTCGTTAGTGGTGCTGGTGCTATGCTTCCCTAGGTTGGCACTCATTTGATGCTTCTTGGACTAACACTTATTATTTTGACAAAATGAAAGAAAAAAATTCATTTATGTTCTTTTGTCTTTTGACTGCAGTATCACCATTTTCTACTTTGCTAAGGAGGGACCCAACTGCAAATTCAATCCAGTATATCCTGAAATCAAGCCTGTTCAAATACCATTTGTAAAAGGACTGGGCCAAAAGTTTTCCCAGCCTTCTGGAACTGGAATTGACCTGGGATTTTTTGATGTCAATGACCTATCAAAGCCTCTCCAAGGAGAAGAAATTTTCCCCCTTGTTATATCAGCTGAGTCATCTCTGTCATCAACACCACTGGATGAGAAGTATGTTGGGCAGTCACTGGAAAACTCTGCCCATTCACAGATAACTGAAGCCGTGCTAGTCAAGAATAATGAGGATCATTTTCAAGTGAAAGTGATCAAGCAGATTTTGTGGATTGAAGGAGTTCGCTATGAGCTTAGAGAGATTTATGGGATCAACAATTCAGAGGAAACTAATGTCAATGATGAGGAGTCAGGAAAAGAATGTGTAATTTGCATGACTGAGCCGAAAGACACAGCAGTTTTGCCATGTAGACATATGGTATGATCATTAACTTTGAAAGTTGGTTTATTTCTTCAATATCTCAAGGTTAATATATATGATAAGTATAGATAATTTGGTACATATTATTCTTGGACCTTACTTTTGTGTGTAGCCTGTTGAAAAAATGACATTGGATTTTACATTCGTGTAAAGCTGTTCCGCTTAAAAAGAAAAAGATTAGGAAAAACTGAAGGCTCTTCTCCAGATGGAGTTTACAGGTGCATAACATGGGCTATAAGATTTAGTGGATATTGATAACGCAGAAGACTTCGAGAATGCGTGGCCATTTCTGATGTCTCTGCTATTTACCAAGGCACATCCACTGATTGTTGTCTTGCATCTAGTATTAAAACTTTTGTATGTATCTGTTAGTTTATAGATGCTTCTTCGATACAAAATAACTGCAAACCGATAAATGTGGTTGCAATTTAGCAGACTTGGTACTCCCAGTAACATACTGGAATCCAGACTTTATTGGAGGTTGATATTTTGGAATATATTGACCTCTAGAGCTGGACTTGGGATAATGGCCTGATATTTTTAGAGGGGTCCAAATGTTTTTTATCATGTTTGAGAAAGTGTTACCTCTACATTTATTTCTCACTGAAAAAGCTCTAAAAGAATTTTACTACTCATATGCTAATATTAGGATGGTAAATAATTCAAGGATAATAATTTCTGAAAACTTTCTTCTTTGATGTATTATGTGGCATAAGTGGCAGGAAAGGAGTGATAAACATTGTCCCCCCCTCTTCCCTCTCAATACAAGTAAGAGAAAATTGACTTCATGTTTTATGACCATCAGATATTCACAAGAAGTGGAAAGACATTTCGTGTTTTTAGAACCCAGAGGGACTGAAAGCTAACAAATGATTGAGTGTCCCCTGAAGCTATGTATGTAGTGTTTGAGAATGCTTTATTTTATCATTTGATCTCTCCTTTGATCAGTTCCTGTGGGAACTTATTAAGTTGCCCTTATGTTGAATAAAAAATGAAAAAGAAGAAAAATAGGAAAGCAAGAGAATGAAGTGTTAAGTATACTATCCTAGCAGGAAGTTCTCTTGTTTTATAGTTTTGACCTCTTAAATTCTCAATTTTTTTCCTCTTTGATGTCCAGTAACTGTGGCGTTTCAATTTTGTAGTGTTTGTGTGGTGAGTGTGCCAAAGAACTGAGGCATCAATCAAATAAGTGCCCCATATGCCGCCAACCCATTGAGGAACTTCTGGAGATTAAGGTCAAAGAAGGTAAAACCTAGACGATAAGAGTCCATTGTTTGATGATATCGAAACTAATCTAAACATTTCTTAAGGAAGACAGAAAGTTTATGCAGTATCTAATGAGTGATGTAAGAGGCTGTATTTCTTCTGTTATCAACCTTAACCTCTATTTTTCTGCTTTGTAGCGGCATCATAAGCTGGGATACGGTGACAGTCGAAGGTTTGTGTTATTGGTGTACTATTCAGTGTGTGATTGTATAGCACAGAGATTGTATATAATACGGTGAATAATACAAAGTTTTTGTCACGATTTTCATCTTTTTCTGAAAGGAAATTTTTATAGACTTCATCCCTCTATTTCTTGAGTTAAATGGGTTGAGGACCCCATTGTCTTTCCTCTTTTGCATTTCCCGTTTTCATATGTGATGGAGAAAAAGTAAGTGGGAATATTTGTACTGCAAGTAAAGAGGAGAAAAAGAGCACATGAAGAATCTAGGCTTTGGCTCTAGTAGGATTTTGAGAAGACAAAAGGCTGAAATGTTGTCTGATAGTATATTTGAATGGGGGGAATAAGTAGATTGGAAGCGGAGACAATTTTGAATGACGAGAAAGCAAAAGTGACTATGCTGATCCCAAGGTTTGAACTTTGATGCATCACTGGATCATGTTTCTCATTTTCTTGACACCAAAGTAGGAAAAAGTGTGCTTTAAACATAGTAGTAGCAAGTTTAATTCCTGCTTACAGAATTGCTTTCCTTTTTCACTTCCCTTTTTTGGGGTTTTCAAATGCAGAGTCAAAGTTGCGAAAGAAAGAATATAACTAGTGTGGGAAAACATTGAGAAGAACCAAAATGTAAGTTTCCTAAAGCTTTTCCTTTTCTTTTTCTTTTTTTTTTATCAATGGAAAACTACATTTTCAGAAAAAGTTTTTGCTCTCTGTGATCCCCAAAATATAGCTAGTATGTAGTACACTATAGACAATAGAGAAATTTTTGTTACAAGGGTGAGTGAGTTGAAAAAAAAATTGAAGTGGTAACAACGGCAAAACATACTACTCCTAGTGTAACCTTACGGTAAAACATACTACTCCTTCTGTCCTCACAATTAACTTGACACACTCTTTAATAAACTGTAAACAGAAGGATAATTTTATTATATCATCATTAAAATATAATAAATACAATATCTTGAAAAATGTAATAAGGAGATGACTACAATTAATGATAAGGGAAGATTAAAATTAAGTGTAAAATTATTTATTGATTTTGTTAAGGTGGACAAGTTTTATTGGACGGGGAACATGGAAATTAACTACTTAAAATACAAATATGTAGGTAGTTTATTCGAAAGAAAACATATTTATACGTGAAAACAAACATGTACACTTTAAATTAGTTTTTGCGTACATGAATTGCTCAAATTCTTCTTTTGGCTTTATCCAAAGAGTGTGAATATATATAAGGAAAATACTCAAACTTGCCCTATACTATATCCTCTATTATACTTTTTCCATTCTTATATCGTTGAAAAATCATCTCATTGTTTAGCCATAAACTCAATGGAGCTCTAACGTATGACGAGTACATTTTGTCAAAAATGATTCGACGAAAAATGCATAAATTTATCCTCGAATTTTGACTATATATGCCTTGAACTTTGAGTTCAGTTTGAGGTGTCAAAATGAACTTTTTCCTAGCATAGGTAAAATAAGAGCATAAATTATATATGAATCAATAATGGAAACTAGAGTTGCTCAACAGGAGAATTGATAAAAGGGAATTGAGATCATACTGATGTGAACGAAGTGAAAAGATTGAACATGAAAAATTACAACTTTTCCATTTATATTTTAATTAAATGCAGAGAATTTTCTTTGATTTTTTAAATTTTGTATTGGGCAAAATTAGATACTATTAAATGAAACTATTATGGTTAAACAAAATAGCATAATAATATAATATAATATAAAATAGACTCCAGTTTGATGGTGATAGAAAACCTAATCCAAAAGGATTGGCGTGAAGTAGGAACTGGCAACAGTGAGGCAGACAGGGAGGTTTGTCCCCCGACAACAGTAGATGCGTCTTCGCCACATTGCGAGTTTGATCCGAATTTAATATTTTTTATTTCAAATACAAAAATCAAACGAAATTAATTATTTTAATTCGAATTCATTTAAATTCAATATTTTAATTTTTTTTTAGCCTATTTTTATTTCAAATTCAATTAAAAAGGCGGATCCCACAAAACAAACAATCAACAGGACACAGAGCTTTCAAGTACCAAAAGTACCATCAATATTGGACGTAAAATATTATTTTCTTGCACATGGCTATAGTGTGAATTATTGATAGAGGAATAGCTGGCTTTTCTATTTTTAATAATAATAATAGTTTTTGTGTGATTTGTTTTTAATTGTAAATCCAATGGAAGAATTGGACAGTTGGTTGTTGTGTAGTCTCTTCATTGGGGTCCTCCCTCTTCACTTTCTTATCTGCTATAATAATGAAATGCAATTGAACATGATTAGTACCCATACTAGCAGCTACAATAACACTCACATTATTGTGATAACAACAATATACTAATTAATAGTGCTTCCATTATATATGGGTCAAAGAAAAGTCCAATTTGGTGGCATAATGCTATATTGAGTAATAATTGAAAACTGAAGAACAATTATATAAAGTTAAAAAGGAATGGTATGGTATGGTATATATCGAAATATTATATCATATTAAGAACTTTTATATTGTGATTTATTATTACGATATCTGGAATGATATATTATCTTCATTCTTAATATTTTTTGGTATTCGGTAGAGATAACATATCGAAATATCAAATATCATATCAAAATATGTAGTTACATAAAGTAATAAGTATGCAATCTAGTACTAGTATAAAGTATAAACTAAATTTTTAGAAGTTAAAACTGTGACTACTCTATTTTGATTGAAATGTATTTACCTATAATTTATTAAAAATAAGAGTTGTTTGTATATATTTCAAACATATGTAATGGGTTGATTTGACATAATTGAGATTTTCTTTATTGTCGAAGTAATAATACTCTATTATACGAGTACATCTTTAGTCAAAATCGAACAAACTTTGGTTACCAATTTATCTTACTGTAAAATATTAAATCGAACTTCAACATACCGAATCAGATCGAATTAAATTGGTATGACAATGATATAATTTCTTAAAAATCAAATACAAATATTATAATATCAAAACTTTCAAAGTATGGTACAATACAACTATAAGATCGATGGTGCTACTAATTCACTAGCGATTAAATTATTTACTTTATTTTCGTGGCTCAAATAAAAAGCATCGACTAAAAATAGGTAAATGTAATTATAAGTAGTTATTTGCAATTAATAGGTGTTTGTTTGTGATTGGAGTTTTTATTAAATTCATATTGGCACTTTCTAACAAAATAATTTCATTTTTAAAAGATTTAAATTTGAAATATCTGATAAAAGAATAACCGAATATTTTTCACTTCATCACAGCAATCATAGTTGGTATATTTTGTTTTTTCTTAGCAAGGGATCGATTCCAGATATTTTCTCTGTGCTACTGATGTAAAGTGAAACAAACACATTTGCCCTTCTGATGCTGAAACCACACGAAGATCTTTTCGTCCTTATATCTTGTCATTGATTAGACAGATTAATTTTGGATCTAATTTTATTGGATTTTAGATTTTAAAATTCCATGAATTTAAAAATATATACATATTGATACTTTAGCTCGAACACTCGAATATTAATTGTGCACAGAATTTAGAAAAAACACTAAAAGAAAAATTAACATGAAAGTCAACCAGCATAAGCAAACTAATCAAAATTTTCTTTTTTTTCTTTTACTCATAAGTAGTGATAAATAAGTAGTGTTAAATCTGGTTTAGCCAATATTGCTCTACTATCTTTTACCAAAAATGAAAAATAAAAGTAAAAATAATGGGGATTGTCCTAACAAACTGTCTTTATTATTATTATTATTGTATTATTAAAGATAAATTAGAATATTAAGCTAACAAGTTTAGTACTCTTTTATCCTTTTTGAGCACTTGGACAATAAATCACCTTTCTCTAAATATATACACGTAGCAATTTATCAGTCATGTAGTACTATATTATTTTGATATTCCCTTTTGGAACCATTGTAATAAATTTTAACTTTTTCTTAACATGGAAAACTTTATTCCTAATACCAAACTAAATTATTTTAATGTTTCATGGTTCCTAAGAAAAGTGACGAAACTTGAATATGAAAGTTAATGCACGTAAATTTGTTTGATTGAATGTGCATATTGATTTTCTTAAAAATATTAACTTTCTGATGAGAAGTAAAAGCGCAATAGAAACTAATTTCAAATGAAAAAATCCTTTGGCCAGGAAACGTAGTCAAAGTGGTATTTTGTTATTTTAAATATTTTTACTCTTTTAATTTTAATATTTTTAATAAAACAGGAAAATTTATTCTAAAATAAAAAAAATATTATAATTTTTTTAAATTTCTAATCAAATTTTTCGACCATTAGCATTATACATTCCAAATAACTAAATTAGCCCCTCTACACCTAATTCTTCGCTTGATTGGACAACCTGGAGGAGCTGCTTTTAATAATTTTATGAAAATAATGGATCAACTCTTTGACTAATTGATGGCATAATATTCTTGAGTGCTAATATTTGGTAAATTCTACGGCAGAATTTATTAACAAGTTTTCTTTTTAGTCAAATCATTCATTAACATTTAAAGTTGATAGAGACTAAATTTTTTATTATTTTTTGATACTCACTTTAAATTCAATTAAATCAAATTTGTGGCAAGAAATCTAAATTTAGAGATAGAATTTTATCTATCATAAACAATTCTATATTATATTAATAGGTACCTAATAACCTAAACCATTTTCTTATCATGCTTTAAATTGTCCTCTAAAAACACGGCAATGGCATGTTTAAGTTGTTGAACGTTAAATTTTGATATGATTTTTTTTAAAAATAGTTAGTTGTTTAATTGAAAAAAGTAATTTAATACTATTTGATTTCGGAAAATATTTAGTTTCTTAATTTTAGGGATAGTCTATCATTTTATTTATTCCGCAACTTAAAATCGTATGATTAATAAAATTAACGAGACAAATTTCATTGATATTTTCTAATTTATGCTTGCTTGAATCTTTCAAAATGATTTACTGTTATTCTATCAATATTTATTTTTTTTATGTGTTTTTTTTTTAAAAAAAAACACATCTCTTACCAGTTACCGGCTTACGATGGACGGTCTCTTTTTCTGTTGATTTCTTTTATTTCACGTTTGGTAATACTCTTGTCTGTATCACACGAAAACAAATGACAACTTGATCCGCAGCGCATACTTTGTTGCCGACGTCTATATTGTTTTACTCGTTTAATTTCGATTTATTTAACGTATTAAGTAAGGACATGTTCATTTTGAATAAAGTTATAGTCGATGAGAGTAAGTTGAGTAAAAAATTGACAAAAATGTATTTTAATACTAAGCTATTAAATGATGATATTTTATTTAATTTGCATTATTCAAAGATAATTTTGAGTATAAATGGGTAACTAGAATTTAACGTACGAGACTTTTATGATTAAATTAAGTTAAATAAAAATTGATATAAATAACACATGTTCTTGAAATTTTAATTTTGGGGATTGAATTCGTAAAAGAAATGATAGTCTTTTTTATATAATAAATTAAACTGAAATCATTTAAAAAAAAAAAATCAAACCTGTGTATCAAAGGAAGAAAAGAAACTAGTACATACAAAAATGTTGGAACCCACACATCTCGCAAGAAACAGAATTTTTGCATCCTCTTTGTTTTCTTTGGACCATTTGTTTGATTTCTAAAAGGGATTAAGACTGTAATAATTATAATATAAGTTTATAAGAATGTCAAATGCAAATACTTTCTCCATCTCTAATGTCCATTTTTAAATTAATAGTTCTATTAAAAAAAATTAATGGTTGATACGATGAAATTATCAGTTTGTCTCTATTAATTATTAAGTAGATGAATTAGAAAATTAAAATTTTCTGAAAATTCTATTTTTTAATGAAATTAATTAAAGATATCATAGCTTGATTTATCAATTAAAAACAAAAAATATCAAATTTATATAAAAATTACTAGATTTATGTAAACTCCTATAACTTCACCCCTATATTTGACATTTTTAGTTTTTAAATTTTTAAAAATAGACGTATAAAAGTAAATTGCAAAAGTATCTGATAATGGATACTCATAGATCTATGTGATCTCATCTCATGTCTCAACCCCACACTAGCCAAAGATCTTTTTCCAAGTGTTAAATGTCATTGGGATCGATGATTTATCCTAGGATTTCTCGCCCTAAGCCTAGTAAAGGAGTAAAATAATCGATAAAAAATTGTGCTGGAATAGTAAGTACTCTTTATTTTTAATCAAAAAATCTTGAATTTGAGTCTACTTGAGTATAGAGTAGTCTTTACTATAAAGTAATTCACATGCAATATGTGACTTCTCGACGTAAATTTAAATTTTAATATACTGCAACGAACGAACGAGAAAAAAAAAAGTAAAATAACGGCAATGTTTCAAATTCATCATAATTCAGTCCACAGGAGGTTGTTCCCACTCACTTGTTCACCCATATAAAGCTTACCTTTAACACATAATTATCTACTGATAATTCCTTCTTTTCTTATGCTTATTTTGCTTTAAATTAAATATATAAGAACTATCATGCTCTTAATTATGGTGTACAGATACACAAGTGACTTGGTTATAACCAAATTGGAAATTATAATGATGCCTCAAAATATTGGTTATGTATCCATCCTCTCTGTCAATCTTCTTTTGTTTGTCTATAATTATGGCATAAGCTAATATTCCATGTATAAAATATTGCAAATTGCCATCATGAATAATTTTTTGTAAGGGAAGTTCATAAGTTGAATCCATAGTGCTAACGCTTTTGAGCATTTTGTCACAACTCATATTTAATCCACTTTTTACTTTCCCATTTCTAATATTTTTGGGAATATGTTAGCGTTGTGGCCTGTGAGCCAATAATTTTTAACAAATCTTAAAAACATACCGCTATGTTTTTCTTTTGGTTCCTAATTATCTTTAGGATTCAGGATATGCCAGTAATGTAACTTAAAAATGAAAATATTTGTTCTTGCATAACCAAGATGAAAATTCATTATTTCTAATATTATAAATTATACCAATAAGTTGTGCGTTTAACATATATTTACATACACATAAATATATAAAAAAATATTGAGTTTAGATGAATTGATACTGCTGACGCTGCATTTGATATGTTTCCTAGGTCAAGGAGTTTGAATTTTATGTCAAAAAATGAAGAACAAAAGTATATATTAGAAGGCCAATTATATCAAAGAAAGAAT